AAATGTCTCCCACCAGCTCCTCCTCCTTGGTCAGGCGTATCGTTTTGAAATGGTAAGTCCCTCCTACCTTCCAAGCGCTGTCCGGCAGGAGATGTATGTTGACCTCCTCGCCTGCGCTCAGTTGGTCGATGGGACTTTGGGAAGGCGTTACCTTTGCCGGTCTGCTGGATCGTGAGGGCGCCTTTGTCCGTTTTTTGGTTCGTGAAGGCGCCTTTGTCGGTTTGTTGGATCGTGAGGGCGCCTTCTGTCGCAACTGGGGGGATGACTTTGCCTTGGCTGGGCGGAAGGCGGCTGGACGCCTTCTCGGCGCCATCTCGGCCCGGGTTGGTCTCCTTCAACGCGATGAAACCCCTTGTCTCCAAGCTTGTCCTTGAACCACGTCTCTCTTCTGCGCCCCTTGTTCTTCTTGCCTCTTTTTCCTTCAAGCCTGCGTGCTGAACAAAGCTCTGTCTCTCCTCTGCTACAACTCGATCTCGACTCACTGCTGTCGGAGCGGTGTTTCGCACCTTCGTGTTGAAGACGATTGCTGGAAGAGGCAGGTGTGGGGACTCTTGTGTCAGGCTTGTGAACGTTGCTATCGACAGTAGCAAAGCGACTATGCAATTCCTCCTTGACTTCCAGCTTTGGCCCCGCGGCTTTGGAGGCTGTGCCAACCGTGCTGGTGAAAACAGCTTGTGTTTCGCCGTTTTGAGGGAAAGGCGGAGCTGAAGGTGGATTGGGACCTGCGACGTAGCCACCTTTCACAAGTATTAGGGGCTGTGTCTGTGGTAGAGGCCAGCAACTTTCTCTCACTTCCCCTGTCAAATTGCGAATTTGGGAGATCAAAAAAGCTTCTCTGCTGGGATGGACGCGGCAAGTATTGACGGCTGATACCAAATCTTGGGTGGCCCTACAAACACCGCAGGAGATCCAATTTCCAGTTTGGAGGAGACCTCCTCGCGGTTGCTGACAGACTTGACAATTCATCCACTTTAAGCCAAACTCTGTGATAGATCGGATCAAGTGTTCAGTTTCCTTACTCGCGTGTTCGCATCATCAAGTAGATGAAGCAGTTAAGCAGGTGAAAGGTAGGAAGAAGAATAACCGTAAGACACTTCATATAGTTTTGAATTACTTGATTGAATACAAGTTGAAGGTATGTATATGTAATCAAATTATCTATGCTATTTATATATCATGGAAACTTTTAGTCCCGCAGATATCCTCATTGATAGTTTTAGTTTTCTTTGACACAAAGGTAGTTCTTATGTTAATTGTCAAGGGTTTAAGACCAAAACGATTGTTGGATTTAAACCATTGCGTGGCCTCTTCTCACAAGTTAGATATTTGCCGTCAAAAAATATGGGAAACTTACCAATTGAAATAGAATTGGTAACTAATGCTACTAATTGTATCAATTACCGCAGTCAGAATATCAAGAGATTTCGGGAAACTCGAGCCGGCTCGAATTTTCCGAAAAATCTCCAGGCACCAGGTCACCACAACTCGAGCAGGCTCGAATTTTCCAAAAAAAACCTACATTCTGTCATCTATGAGACCTTGGGGTCACACAGCCATGGTTTCAGCATATTTTTTAGAAAATTCGAGCCGGCTCGAATTTTCCGAAAATTCTTGAAGCTCCAGGTCTCGAAAACTCGAGCAGGCTCGAATTTTCCAAAAAAAAACCAAAATTATGTCATCTATGAGGCCTTGGGGTCACACAGCTATGGTTTCAGCATTTTTTTCAGAAAACTCGAGCCGGCTCGAATTTTCCGAAAAATCTTGAAGCTCCAGGTCTCGAAAACTCGAGCAGGCTCGAATTTTCCAAAAAAAACCTAAATTTCAGGATCTATGGCTCCAGCAGCCCGGTAGATCCTGAAAGTTAGGTTTTTTTGGGAAAATTCGAGCCTGGTCGTGTTTCGGCAATCTACTGTGTCAGTTTTTTTTGGAAAATTCGAGCCGGCTCGAATTTTCCTAAAATTCTTGAAGCTTTAGGTCCCAGAAACTCGAGCAGGCTCGAATTTTCCAAAAAAACCGAACTTTCAGGATCTGCCGGGCTGCTGGAGCCATAGATCCTGAAATTTAGGTTTTTTTTTGGAAAATTCGAGCCTGGTCGTGTTTCGGCAATCTACTGTGTCAGTTTTTTTTGGAAAATTCGAGCCGGCTCGAATTTTCCTAAAATTCTTGAAGCTTTAGGTCCCAGAAACTGGAGCAGGCTCAAATTTTCCAAAAAAACCTAACTTTCAGGATCTACCGGGCTGCTGGAGCCATAGGTCCTGAAATTTAGGTTTTTTTTGGAAAATTCGAGCCTGGCCGTGTTTCGGCAATCTACTGTGTCAGTTTTTTTTGGAAAATTCGAGCCGGCTCGAATTTTCCTAAAATTCTTGAAGCTTTAGGTCCCAGAAACTGGAGCAGGCTCGCATTTTCCAAAAAAACCTAACTTTCAGGATCTACCGGGCTGCTGGAGCCATAGATCCTGAAATTTAGGGTTTTTTTGGAAAATTCGAGCCTGCTCGTGTTTGGGCGACCTACTGTGTCAGTTTTTTTTGGAAAATTCGAGCCGGCTCGAGTTTTCTAAAAAAGCATGATTTTTTCGGGTATTTTTCTACCTTGTTGGTGTAAATGACCTGCCTGACTTGAAATGATATAGGTTTTTATCGGCCCTGTCGGTGTTTTTGTCGCTAGCTCATAGCCCCCTCTCCTCCCAAGATCCATCTGTTTCGAAGCAGAAACGTGGATCATGGGGGGGGGGGGGGGGGCGTGAGCTATATGGTCACACATATATATATATATATATACATACATATAGAGAGAGAGAGAGAGAATTTGTTCATGTGTGCATATATATGTATATGTTGTATTGTAATATAGTAGAACAGAGGCTTTATATGCACAATACTAATTTGTTATTGCCATAATACAGCTTGTGTATGTATAATATGCGTCTATAGTCTGTTTAGATACAACCATACAACCGGATATTAGTACGCAAGTAGAAACACATTACTGATCCTCCTTCCCTGTTTCTCAACATCTTTTGGAGGCGCACGAAACAACTTCGATTCAACGCTGAAGAACACCATATATATATATATGTGTGTGTGTAGGTATTCATCGTTATGCTTCTATTTAAATGTATACCTCTACTTGTACGTATACATACAAGTATGTTGAAACTGCATTGACAGCTATGCTTACATTTAAAAAATGCATTTGGCTTCTAGTATATAGCTGGTCCGTTCTTCTGAAACCCTGCTAGACTCTAGCCTGCACTTATATGTCACTATATATACCTACCTTTGATGTATACATATATCTGGTCCCCCCTCCCGCCCCGTCACCTGCCCCAGCTATGATGCGACTAAGCTTGGGTATCGAATATGTGCTTTGACGAGAAGCTGATTAAACAATAACCATAGCCAACAAAAAGAAAACTGACACTCATTCTCGGCTTCGCCAAAAGTTTCGGAAGATTGCAGGTACTACTTTCTGTTGTTTTTGGTTATTCTGTTTTGGGGCGTTTGATATTCTGGGGTTTTTGGTTTTATTGTTTCTGATGCTTTTTGTTTACAAACATAGGCGGAGGAGTCTAAGGGCTAAGCAATAGCGCGTCAGCGCCACGGCGCATACGCGCAGTGACACAGGTTGTGTGTGTGTGTGTGTGTTAGGTTTTCTGCAAAATTCGTGCCGAAAATGTTCAAGCCATCTTAGAGGCTCTGAGGCATTATACGCTCAGTCTGTACTAGATCCTCCATGGCATCTCTTGCTGCTGTGAAGGTCGTGCTGGTTTTGCTGGCATTGTAGTTTTGCTTCTTTGGTGTTGTTTTTTGGTTCCCGCGAGAGCCCCTGATTCTTTTGTATTTTTTTGGTACTGATTTTTCAGCATTCATTTGCCATGTTTTTGGTCTATGTTTGCTGTTTTTTGACATTTTCCTCTTTAGCATTTGTTCTGCCCTTCTCCTTCCCCCCCCCTTTCCCCTCCCTACCCACACCCGCCTCGCCGACCCTGCCCTTGAAATTGTAGATTTCCCTAGTACTACAGCAGGCAAATTATGCGCTTGTAGGACAACATTGCTTTCCAAGGCATTTTATTCTACTAGTATTTAGTTCGTATGTTTTTTGCTATGTAACTAGTATTTATGAGCATGTTGTTTTTTATGAGTTTGCTTGATATCAAGTTGTCTTGTTTATTTAGAGTGCAACTAATATTTGATTGTTTGATTCATGCGATATTGATGAACCAGTATGTACTGAACATTGAATTTGCACGCAACGAGTATTTGATTGCGATTGCTGTGCTTGAACATGTGATAGGTGGTTCATTGTATGTAATTCGCATGTTGATCAATTTTTTGGGAACAATCCAAACTTCACCCGAGATTCTTCCGAAAAGCTTGGATTTTGGGATGCTTCGGTTTTTGAATTTCCGGGCCCTATGGTCTTCATGAGGCAACTTATACATGTCGGGGAGAGTTTTGCCCTTTTTCAGCTTGTCAGTAGTATTCGCTATTGTGCACTCAAAGCTGTTTGTCTTCCAACTAAGATTTGGCGCACATGTTCGTTGTACTCAACTAGTCTATTTCGAGTTGTACTCATCTAGCTCATGTGTCAAGCCATTTCATTAACGTGCGAATACTAAAAACAAAATGTAAGAAGTATGCAACTAGTACGCAATGAATAACTATTCTATTTTTGATTGAAACTAGGATACTTCAGTAGTCATTTTCGTTCAGCGTTTAACAATACTTTGCCTAGTACAAGCACTAGTTTTCTAGAAACGCACGCTGCGGTGCCTGGAGCAAGCTCACCAGAGCGAAAGTTTCTGACTGGTGTTCAGTGGTGAAAACCTCGGGTCGTGTTTTTGTCGAACCCTTTCATTCCTTACGTGGATTCTTTCGTCCTGGAAACAAAGAATTCAGTAGCTGCTTCATGCTGATGTCATGTCACGGGAAGGGCCTTGGGCGTGCCCTCTGCAAACTCAAAGCTAGCAGCGGAACTCATCCAACCCTCCCCAGCCCGACCGTCGGCCACTGCGTCGTAGACCATCTGCTCTGCTGCCGAAACCTCCTGCATGTCATGACACAGGAGAAGGACGGCACTTGAAAAATGCCGAGCTGGAGTCGGAAGCGAGAGCATATGTGAGCGTCAAGACTCGCACTTGGCCAGACCCTAGACGATGGAATTTGCGAAGCGGGGGAGGCTTGCGTGTGCTGTAGTGCTTGCAACTTGAAGTCCCAATCCCTACATCTTCGCTCCTTAAGCCGCCTGCGACAAGAAGCTGCTTCTATAGGTAACATATTGAGTGCATATTTAGATATATCACTCATATAATATATATATATATATATATATATAGATAGATAGATAGATATATGTGTGTGAATAAAACAGCACGAGATAATACCATATAGCACAGTATGATACTATCTAGTAAGATTATCACGCTAGCCAACAAATGTCGCGCAAAAATCGCCCGTCTAAGCATGACTGAAGTATCGGAATAGCGCATAATATTAAAACTATGCCTAATATTCAGACTATTCTTGATATAAACATAAAACTCATAATATTCGGAAAATGTTCTAAATACTAATTCTTCCTTTATTCATAGTGTTCATGCTATTAATAATATTTCGTAAAAAACTTGAGTCACAGGCGCCCTGCGAAGTCAAAACGAACGACATGTCTCCTCACAGCCACGACGGCCCGCTGCCAAGGCCAGGGCCTTGGTTGCCTTGGGTTGGGGCTTTAGGGTTTCGGGGTTTAGGGTTTAGGGGTTTAGGGTTTAGGGTTTAGGGTTTAGGGGATAGGGGTTAGGGGGGTTTAGGGCTTAGGGCTTAGGGTTTAGGGTTTGGGACTTAGGGTTTAGGGTTTAGGGGTTTTGGGGTTTAGGGGTTTAGGGGTTTAGGGGCTTAGGGGTTTAGGGGTTTAGCGGTTTAGCGGTTTAGGGGTTTAGGGGTTTTGGGGTTTTGGGGTTTTGGGGTTTAGGGGTTTACAGTACGGGTGTAGGGGTTCAGGTTAGAAAGGCCAGTGGCCTCTTTATCTGTTACCCTTATGCAATGCCCCCATAGAAAAGAAACCAGACCACCAACCCATATAAGGTTTAGGGTTTAAGGTTTAGGGTTTCGGCTTTAGGTTTCGTTGGGAGAGGGTTTAGGTTTCAGGGTTTCCGGGGATTGGGGACTTTTCGGAAGCTCCGAGGATTGGGGTTTGGGTTTGGGGTCCCCAGTTTGGAACAGTGGGCAATTGTAACATGAGCACCCCATAATCTGCTAGTGTGACCCCCAGAAAAGACTGTTCCTCAAGGGAAGCATCCCAAGATTACGGTTCGGTCAGTGTGGGCAAACTAGAGAACTCAGAAAGGGACTCTGCAAGAGAAGAAGAAATACGCCAAACGAAAAATGAAAATGACACCCGCGTCCATGACTGATCCCAGAAAAAAAGCGAACAAAAAGTTGCACTCCTCTTCTCGACAACTCTGCCCCGCCCGCCCACACTCCTTCAGGACTTTAGGTCCCTAAATTAACTGCTAAACCCCGATCCCTAATCGTTACACCCTGGCCTCCTGCGGACTGTTGAAGTGGTGCCGAAAGCTGCATTCTGCCTGTTCCACGCGCAGGAAAGAAACGCCTCATGGGTCTTGTTCTGCACCTGCTTGCTTGATTGCCAACTTAGTTTGCTCAGAAGCCATGTGCAGCGCCAGCTTCTTGCTGAAATCCCTGCTTAGCCCTGTACATCGCGTGTTGAGGTGTGGTCGTCTTACCACCTTGCCAAAGAATCGTCAGATCTCAAGCGGTACTGGGCAATAGTGTGTCGAGGTAGGGTTCTGGGTGATAATCATAGTTCAAAAACAACTAGCACCCATTCATCCGAACGGAAGTCATAAGGGAAGCTATTTTCCCAGGCCTCTCCGCAGCTGGCAGCTGAACGACCGGACCAGAACTTGCAAAGGGCGATCGGCTTGCCTTACGGTCGTCTACATCGCAACCGTGGCTTTTGACAAACAGAAAGATGAACAGGGCCTCCAGGTTAACCACGTGTTGAGGTGTAGCCTTGAAATCCTGCAGGGGGGCCTCAAGGCTTTTGGGGCATGAGGTTGTTGGCGTGCGGTTTATCAAGGGGGTTGGCGTTTGGGTTCTTAGACGATGGTGAAGCCAAGATTCCCATCAAAGTTGCCGCTTTTCCCAGTCAGGGTTTGCAGGTTGGGGTTTTGCAGCCCCCAACTGGCCCCAAACCCTCGAAGCCGCCAGTAGTATTCTTCGAAGAAGTATCAACGTTAGCGGTATCTGAGGCCACTGGCCCACTGCCGCCAACGCTTCCTTCGCCCGTTGATTGGCTGCATCGCGCCTTGGGCACCGCAACAGCAAACTCGGAGACACCTTGACTATTATGCCATGCTGATAACCTATACATGTTAAGAACAACCAAGAATTGTTTCTGATGGCGCAGGGCACCAGACAGAGACCACAATTATCATCTGGACCCACCCCCCACATGACGCCCGAGCTTTCCTTCAGCACCTCGCCTTGCAAGGTGCGCTGCCAGGTCGTAGCCTCCGGACCCCCGGCTCGGGGCCTGGACAGTGGACCCTAAAAGCCCTGAACCCTAAAACCTAGGAAGCTTCAACCACCTAACAGCCTCCGCAGCCCGGGGATGCTCAATGACCCAAGGATGACGTGTGTAGATGGACAGGGTTCATACGCGGCTCATCGGGTTTGGAAGCACAACCTATCCTGGGCCCTAGGACTGTGTTGCCACAACGTACTACGAGCAAGAGTCCGGTCGGTCTAGGAAAAACATAATGCCAGCACTACTGGCCTACAACATATACACTGACGGAGACGGTCGTTTCTAGAGACTTCTAAGGTTTCAGGAGGCCTTCCCTCACAGGAGGCTCGCAGGCCTCATCCTCTTCCGACAACCGACGCCAGCGTCTCACCAGCGGCTCCGGCCGGTAGCGAGGCGCAAAGACGACCGCGGCCTGCCCAGGCTAGGCGGGAACAACTGTTCCGGAGAAGAGTCTCAATCCGGAGCCACCACATCTACACTGTGGCTACTCAGCTGAGCCCAATCACTGAAATCTTCGTGACATGGTGGTTCTGACACATGAGGGCCTGTTCGGAATTGCGACACTTTTGGAAATCGGCTTCTTTACTAGGCGTCTTCCAGAGGGACCTTGATTTGCAATGTGCAGCACCCCAATTATCACCAACTGGCCCCGAGCTGGCCTCCAAACGGGAGCCCACCACAATGTCGCCCCGACGAACAGGCGCAGGTGACCAACTTCCCTTTGGTTTCGCGAAAGGGAAGTTGTTTAGATTTGGTTAGGCTCGCGGTGCGTTGAGGTATCGTTTCAGGTCCGTTGCGATACCAAAAAGCACAAGATGGCAAACACCCGTGAAGTCCTGGCGTGCACTCAAATCGAGCCTCAGTGGCTGCTATGAGCCCAGCACAGAAGCAAAGGCCCAGGATTTCAGGCCCATCTTCATCCTGAGCTCAGGCTTGCTTGGTTTAGGGCTCAGCTTATGCGGGTTTTTGGGCCTGGCATTTTAGAACTTAGGGTCTAGGGCTTTTGGAGCTTTTAGGTCTTCGCGTCGAGCTTCGCGGGGGGCTATGGCTAATGGGGTTCAAACTTAGGCCGAGAACGGGGGTGTTATGGGATAGAACATCGGAAGCCTGGCTTGAGCTGGCATTTTTACTAAGGGCATCTAAAGGCTACACAAATATTGGGGATTCAGCCGAGGTCGAGGGAGGTGCTGAAGCCAGATACCCACCTGCGGCGGAGACTCTGAGGACTGGCCCCCATCAACCTTGCCAGGCGTGGCTTTCTGGCTTTCTGGTTGAAACAGCAAGTGCCAGAGTCTACTTCTCGGATTCGTGGCAAAAGGAACAAGCAAAACTGCGATTCCCAAAGCGTCATCATGCCCCATATTCTCCAAGTGATGGGTGTACAGGCCATGATGGGCACTTTCTTGGGGAAGTCCAAGTACAACAAAAACCCCCCGAAGCGTGCAAGCATGCCCTGCCTGCAGGGTGCAGAAGGCCAGCTTCCGAGAGGTCACGCGTCGGCTCAGTACCTGGGATGGGCTCCCCAGCCTGCAACCATGCGCTGCAATGCGCTGCATGTAGGGTCCAGACAAGTCCAGACGGCTTCGGATGGGCTCGGGGTTTCCAAGCCCTACAACTTCTGACCTAGAAGCCCCAAAAGGCTTATCCCCAAACGCCCAGGCTTCCGTAAACGCCTAGAGCCCTTTCAAGCCCCCCACTGAGTTTCCTCAGCTTCTTCAGTTGCCGGGGCGCCACGCCAATGACCGGGCGCAGGGCGCCCGGTTCTCCCAGCTCAGGCTGCTCAGCCACCAGCGCCGTCCACCTCGGGCTCAGGGAAGATGTATCTAGGGTTGAGGGTTTCGGGTACGGTTGTAGGGATAGGACATGAGATTCTGGCGTTTTTGTTTCTCTCTTTTTGGGCTGTACAGTATCGAGCCGAGAGCGCAATCTCACAGCGCAAAACCCCAGCCAACTGAAATCCTCAAATCCTTAAACCCTGAAGCCCCTACACCTACGAGTACAGCCCTGACCCACCCCTACACACCTAAACCCTTAGCCCCTGAACTCCACAGCCCTAAACCCTTAAACCCCCTAAACACAATAAACCATGAACCATCAACCCCGAGCCCTTTAAGCCCTAAACCGATGAGCCAAGGCGCGTGGCCGGGAGCGGTCGCCGCACTTCGGCGTCCGCCGTCGCCATCGTTGGGCGCGGGAGGAGGGAGGAGATGAGGGTTTATGTAGGGTTTAGGGTTTAAGGTGTAGGGTTTAGGGTTTAGGGTTTAGGGTTGAGGGTTGAGGGTTTAGGGTCTAGACGCGGTTTGGGGGCCTTGGGGCTTGGCCTTTTGGGGTTTGGAGGGAGTAGCGGTGCAGCGGTGCACCTCTTTTGGACTAGTCACTGGTCTACCCTGAATGCCCCTGGATTCGTGAACGGACAGACACCTTACCCTAGATGACCCAAACTCAAGTGGTCGCGGATGTCCTCCGAAATTATCCCGGGCTTTTCGTCGTGACTTTTCTAGAAAACCAGAAAGCGCCCAACAAGCTTGACCCCCAAATCCCCCAGCAGTGGACCAGTCGCGTACAGTAGTAGATGCTTAAGGGAAGATAGAGGAGAGCGAATCCTGCCCATAAACCCCTTTAGCATTCCCCAGTAGGAAAACCCCCACGAGTTGCACCTACATTCACTCCCCACCCGCGCCTAAAATTGCTGCCAACCCTACACCCTAGACCCTCAACCCACTTCCCTCCCCTGAAGCACCCAGTAAACACACCCCAGGGCCGCTGCCGGAGGGTGTCTTGCGGGACTTCAGAACCAAACCCTTCAGACCTCGGGCTGACTGTAGGTTATGGGGAATCGGGGAAGTCAGGAATAAAGTTTCTTATTTGCCTTCTAGCTGATCCTTCAAGGGATCATACCAAGAGCCAAATTCCCTGCTAAAGTCTCTCTGAAAATGGTTACTCAGGGATCTGATGACTTCTCTATGACTCCAAAGCCTGCGCTAGATGCCATCATGATCAGGTCCTCTGACATTGCCTGAAGCTCGCATGAGGATCACTCCACCTTCCTGGATCAACATGGGGGCTTACGATAATGGGGGGGTACCTTAATGAGGTCCTTTTTATAAGGGGATCCTACTGTTTGGGGGTCTATATTGCCATATTAGGGGTCCCCTATTTTCGTACACTCCCACACGGCATCCAAGGGCCGCGCGCTGGATCTTCCAAAGCCTCTTCGCTTGGATAATACGCCTTCGCTCTCGAAAGTGCGTGGGACTCTTGGTGCTGTTGGAGATATAGATAAAGATACAGATGTAGATACAGATACAGCTGTAATATGAATCATAGATCATTTCTCTTACAGTCATACACGACCATGGTTCGAGACCGCGAGACATGCACCTAGAAGAGACTGGCCTCAGGGTTGGCGCTCAATCCCGGCGCATCCTGGAGCAGCTTGCAGAGCCCCTACTGGCCCCCCCCCTAGGCACAATGAGGAGGTGCTGGAAAAGGAGAATGGCTGCTGTTCTCTTCCAGTCTACTCAAGTCTACTCAGGGGACTCATTTCAAGGCATATTACTTCATATCACTCTTCACTGACACCCTCCAATCCCCTATGTGCTACACGCGGCCCTTCTGGGAGCGTAAACCCTTATGAAGACCCTCGAGCTAGTGCAACCCCCACATCCCCGCGCCTATGAAACCTGCAACCTCCCAGACAACTGCGAACCCGTAGCCAGAAGTCGCCTGGAACATGGCCAGGTTGGGCGTCAGAAAGTCGGGAGACACGGTGGGCACATGACCGTCCCCAGCGAAGCCTCCATTCTCATGGGAAAACTGAAGGGCTTATGTTAGCTTGCAAGCCTTAGCGCACGTTGCTGCATGTTTCTCGTGACTGGGTGTCACTTCTTCGGTTCAGAGTGCACAATGGGTGTTGTCCAAAGCTGTTCGTGTTTAGCAGCAATCAACACAGCACCGAAACGAACTGCAGCGTCGACTCTAGGATCTGCATTTTCTTGGGATCCCTTAAGAACTGCTCTCCTTCTACTTTGCCCTTCAACCCTTTGCAAGAGAGACGAAGGCTGAGGGTTCAGAAAGCCCTCAATACCACGAACAATCACGAGTTTAGGGTTTCGAGCCCTGTGCGCCAAAACAAACCTTAAACGAATCTCCGGGTTTCGGCTTATTGCCTAGGTCCCCAGCCTCTGATGGCACCCGTCGCGGGGGCCGCAGGGAATGGGTCCGGCGCCGGGTAGTCGTGCGTGATCCACCGTGAGAGGTCTGCGCAGCTGTCCCCTAACACCCTGAATCCTAATCCCTAAACCCTAAACCCTGTACAGCTTGACGACTATAACCTCGAAAAACTCTGGGAAGCCTAGCGCCGCGTAAAGACCCCAGCAACTCAGTGGAGTTGGAGGATGTTGGCGGGTCGGGGCCTGAGGATCACAAGCAAAAGGGAATCAAGAAAAGAAACCCTCTTGGGATGTAAACGTGCCAGGGTACCGAAACCCGATTTCAACCCTAAAGAGGTGGTTCTGGCAAACGCTAGACCCATAAACGCGAAGGGCTGGTGCTTCAGAAAGATTGGGCAAAGGGCCACAAGGTTCTTTCCTTTAGCACTTGAAGCTGTGAGCTTGGTTACCCCCCACCAACCTAGAATAGCGATGTTGTGATTTGGGAGGCTAGTTGTTTGGAGGCTACTGCAATGTCCACACCTTGGCTCAAGCGATTTTTGCTCAGAATTCCCCATCTCCCCCCTGCTCCCTCACGGCCTGCACCGAGTTGGGCTTGAAGAAGGTTCAAATGTTGCTGGGCCTGGCTGAACTCTCCGGCGTTGGGGCTTCAAAAGCGCTCCTTCACATGTGAGTTGCCCAGAGAAACATCAGCTCGCAGATCCTCACGGCGTCCGAGCATCGGAGATCAACCCCTGAACGCCAAGTCGTGAATCAATCCCAGATTGGCGCGATGCTGCGCGAACCCGCGGCGTAAGTATCCATTCAGGGAGCTGCAAAAAAAAGGATCCGCAGACATCAGGCGGGCGGAGGGGGGTACAAAGGAGGTCGAAGACCTTGCGGTGTCTTGTGCAGATGCATACGGCATCTATGCGGACGCTGACCGGACTGCTGCTCTCTTGTTTGCACGTGGGTGCACGGGCCGGCACCCTATGTAAAGGATATTGAATGCAACCTTGCAAATGCAGCCTATATGGTGTCTACTGGCTCAACCAAATTTCGGAAAGAACAACTCTCCAACTTGTGCACTTCCCGCCTGAAGGATGGCCATGGCCTGGCGAGGGGGAAGAGGGAGGGGGGGGGGGGTATAAGGGGGTGAATGGGATGCAGACTTGGGCACTCTGATCTCGGCCTCACCCTGTCTTTCCATACCCCTTCTGATTGCAACGTGCCGCAAGCGGCCTGAGCCCGAATCCCGGGAAAGATGGGCGGCTGCGGGCTCAAGGGCGGCGTGGCGTTCAAACCTGGCAGCAACAGCTTGTTTGTCCCGGGCGACCGCAAGCCTTATCAAGCCCTCAAAAAGAACTTCAAGCCCGAAAAATGCGAAGAGGAACATGACCTGGGACACGAGAGTGCCTTTCAGGAGCTTCGGGGCTTCGGGTTTGGGAAGGAGAAGAGCCGAGCGGAGCAAAAGCAACTCCCAAAAAATCGAAGATGCCCCAAAAGCTCGCGAGCCTCTGGCTCTGAGACATATCGCAAACCGTTTTGGGAGGGAGCAAGGGCAACCCACCTCCAATCGCTGACGCGCCCGGCGTAAGCGAACTCAGGAAGCTTGCCTTCTGGCAGGGCTGCGTCCGAAGCATTCATACGTGGGGGGGGGCTTTCACGAGCCTAGGGCCCGAAGCTCCCAAACCCTCGAACTCCCGAGTCCAGGCTCGAAAATCCTGAGTCCTCTCTCTCCAATCCGCGCCTCGAAAGGTGCTGCCGGCACTGTGGGTGCGGGTGGGGTTGCCGAAAGGACGGCTGCGGCCGTGGCAGTGAGATTGGCGAGCTTCGCCTGTACAGTGAAGGGCTTAGGGGCTTAGGGTCTTCAGGGATTTCTGATTACTGATGGTCTACCAATTCGAAGGTTGGGATCTTTCAGAAGTGTTCCGGGGGAGAGTAGGCTTTCCTGTGCATTCGGGATGGAGGGATGGGGATGGTGGGTTTTTTGGTGGCCACAGGCTTGGTCCAGAATCTTCCGCCTAGTCCAAGAACACGGGATTGGGCCCCAAGCCTTGCACTCCGAGTGGAGATACCTGGGCGGCCATGAGCTTCCAGGAGGGTCGCAATGAAACCTACGTCTTTCGTAGGTAACCTGGTGTTCACCTATACAACATGTAGAGCGTTTTGGCCCTTAAGGAGACCGTCTAGAGGCGGCTCAGTTCTGGCTCCGCGGTGGCTTAAAGCTGACGGGACTGAGGCCATGCTAGTGAAAAGGAAGGTCAAGGCTCGGTTTCTGTAGTAGGTTCTGACTCTAAAAAAACCCTTCTGGGATTCGAGGCAACCTGAGCAGAGGCTTTGGGTACTTGAGGGTCGAGGGTCCCATTGGGTCCCTTTCATGGTTGCGGTCCGGCGATGGGTTCCCGAGAATGGCTGTGGCCCGTACGCCAGCTGCTGCTTCGCACCCTGCACCAGTGTGGCTGCCTTCGCACTCAACCCTGGCCCCTGAACCTGGTAACTTCCGAAACTTCCTAAACCCTAAAAGGCCTCGAAAACGCCATAGTACCCAAAGCCTGGCTTTACATACCTTGTCATGCCTGAGACATTTTGAACAAAGACCAGAAACGATCTCAAACTGCTTCCCTTCCAAAGGGCAGCGTGAAACATATGGCTAGGATGCACATTCTGAGGCTTGGGAGTTCTTGAATTTTGGGGGCTGAATGTTGATGTGGTGCTGGGGCATCACGTTGGCGAACTAGCAGCGGCGATAAGGACTGTGGGCCCGCTTGAGAAGTGGCCGTTTCATCTGCTGCTCCTGAAGTTGAAGCCAATGCGGAACAACGATATCTGCTTGCATCTACTCATCTCTACCGTTCGGCAAGAAGGATAGCAGTGGTGCCGGAGCCATCTGACACTCATCGACAATCAAAGACCACGCTGGCAAGTCTTCGAGGCACCAATTGGCCTGGATGATGTTGTCGCGCGTGAAGCCGTGGGTGCTCTGCGACTCCTGCCAGGTACTTGGGTCTCTATGCCGAACTCATTTTATTGAGATGGCGGACAAATCACAAAACCTGCACAATGAGGAAATCCGCTTTGGAACTTTGCGTCAGATGCCAGCTGATGGATGGCCTGAGCAATGCCATGGAGTCTGTCCAGGATGCCCACAAGGTCGGTGGTGTCCGGCCTTAGTACAAGACTATGCATCCTTTTTTGCTTGGCCATCTGCCATGTAGGAGTTGGTTGAGTTGGAGGCTGTTGTGATGCCTTAGCTACCAAGGCCCGTAGTTTAGAACAATTGAGAGGGAAACCTCATGGACGGAACAGCCAGCTGAAGATCAATACCGCCTCCCAAAATCCCAAACGCTGCGCCAAGTCTCCCCCTTGTAGTTGCTGGTGTGGAGCAGGAACATTGGAAAGCCCGAAACCTCTGCAACCCGAAGCCCCAACACCCGTAGAATCCTTAGGTAGGCCTTTTCAGCATCCCAATATTGTTAGCCCCCGGGCGCCAAGCGCATGATCAAGCCAAACTATTCCACACCGGTGCCCACTTTCCAGTTTCAAACATGCGAAGTGTAGCCAGTTTCGGGGGCCCTCGCAGATGTGATTGCGCTGGTGGCACCGATGGTGCTACCGACGGCACCGTTGGCGGCGCCGAAAAAGAGGCAATACTCCTGAGGTGTCAAGTCTGTGGCTCTTCCCGAGTTAAGGGGTTGAGGTTGGGATGTTCTCACTTATACTAACAGTCCAAAATAGGGATCATCGCATATACCTCCCACTATTATCCCTACCAACGACTGTTAGGATAAGGGGAACATCCCGAGGTTGAGGTTTCAGGGTGTAGGGCTTCACGAGGTTTAACGGGAACTGGCTCTTGGCATGCTCTTTGCCTGCTGGACATGCTGAGCAGGTTGAAGCCAGGGCTGCTGGCCCAACACCAGCTCGTTCAACATTACCAGCGGTCTCTTTGCAGCCGTTGACAGGTAGCTGTAAGCATCTGTAAGCCTTACAAACTCCCCAAAACCATATAAAAGTTTTTCTAAGACTCTGGTAGCCTATGTGTACATATATACTATGAATAAAAAAACACTTTTGAATTCTGTGAACCAGCAGGATCGTGGCCGAAGCTGTGTTGCTGTTAAGAACCCTTATTGACTTACATGCCAAGAAATGTCTGTCTAGTTTTTACGATATATCCACGTTTTGCCCGGTACCGGCAAGATCGTGGCTTCAGGGTTCTCTGCAATTCTGCTTCCAGACATCTTACTGCGTGCGCGACTCACCAGCACGCTTGCACACGGCATATCTGCATGAAAAATGCGACTCCGATCTCTTCACCCTCATCTAGGCTCCGTGCTGCAGCATCTGGTTCAGCCTGAGCGTGCGCATGTCCGGGCCGGAACTCCAAACCTACGTAAGATGAAAGCTTAATCCAGCACCTGAATGCCCGACAACCCCCCCCCCCTTCTACGCCTCCCGCCCCGTAGGACCTGAGGACCTCAAGACCTCAAGACAACCCTCCAGTGCCCCCGGCTCATTCAGCTCCTGCGCGGACAACGAGACAAGGAACTTCCGGTCAGCTCCCGGAACCTGCTGCGAGCATGACAAGCACAAGCTACGAAACAACAGGGGCCTAAAGGAGCTGCCTCAGCCTCTCGGATCCACAAGCCCTAGCCCCTCAGCACAACCCTCAACCCTGAAACCTGAAACCTGAAACCGAAACCCCTCCTAAGCCCTGCGAACCCTATAAACCCTGAACCCTAAACCCTCAACCCTGTTGCAAACTCTACAAGGCCCTTCACGCAATCCCCATCGGTCCTCAGGGTCTGGAAAGGCCCTCTCCGGGAATTCTCCCGACCTCTTGCTGTAGGGTTTAGGGTTTAGGGTTTAGGGTTTAGGGGACGAACGTCATTCAGATGTGTATTCGCAATATTTCGCAATATTGTGAAGAGATATTACGAAAATCATTCGCGCTGGCCTGCCACTGGAACGCAGACAGTTGCCACAGAAGCACGTGTAGACATGGTGATACGCCTTCTTTTCGCCTTACAGCCTCGAAGGCTTCATGAAAAAGCGAGAGATGTCGATGAATATTAAGTCTCAGTGTTCTCCGAATTAACACGTGAAGCTGTGGGGCCCAGTCGACCACCGTCGCGAAGCCTAAACTGTCAACACAGATGCAGCTTCGAGCGTTGCCTGCTACTCACTTCTGCAGGCTTCCACGTGGCGGCGAGGTTTTGGGAACTTGTCGGAACAGATTGGCGTGTTAGAGGGCCTCGTGGCATCTCCACTTCCCAGATACATCGCCTGTGTTATCCCTCCTCAACACGCAGACCCTCAACCCGAGCAAGGCCGTGCAGGCGGGCAGGGAGGGCACAGCTCCTGGCTTCTGATCCCCTATACACCCCGAACTCTCAACCCTCCAGGCCACTGAACCGAGAAACGCTATAAACCCTCTCCACCCTAGAAGCCCCATCAAACCCACAAGCCTTACCTCCAACGAAGAACTCCCAAAGGGCCTCGTAGCTTGCCACTCCGCCGGACTTGTGGGGGCCTTGGCATCCGGGGGGAATGAGGAAATTAGGTACGCTGTAGAGTTCCTTCAGGGGGGGGGAGTAGTTATACCTCCTAGAAAAGCCCTGTAAGACACTCTACAGGGTACCGAATTCCTTCATTCCCAAATAAGAACCAGCAGGCTTGGGGCTGCAGATGTCCAAGCTTCACACCTGCCCCGAGCCGTAGGAAGCCGCCAGAGACGAGCCTGAGATGCAGGTTCGAGGGTTTCGGGTTTTGGGTGGCCGTGGCCCCGGATGTGTGAGGGTGAAAGGGACTGGAGTCATGAAACTGTGGCTGCTAGCTCCCAAGCACCTGACACTGGACTGGAAGCCCCACCTGTCAGGAATGGCTCGCACCCTGAGGCACCCGGCTGTTGCTGCTTTCGGACTCCTGCCTGCGATTTAGGTTTAAGCTTAGGGTGTTAGGATCTTAGAGTTGAGGTTAAGGATAGGTGGTGAGGACTTCTTGTCACGCTTGCTGGCAGACTCCCCTCCAAGAATCTTCCGCATCCAAATGTTCACACCCCCAAACCTGTAAACTCGACTTTATGCCCCCTAAACTCTGAACCCTAAAGCCCTCCCTAAACCGTCTACAACCTAAATTTTCACGTGCCCAACCCGCATTCCGACGACACGGAAAAACAAGCGCTGAGCAGCCTCTCTCTTCCCAAGCCCGCAGTGAAAGAGTTTTCAGGGCCGGCTAAGGATATTCCAGGCTCCGCCCCCCGTGCCGGACCTGTTCCAGTCGTCGGCATCTCCCGTTACCAGGTCGCCGCCGGACTTTCCGGAGCGGCTGCTTCCCTGCAGTTTGGGGCTCTGGCTTGTCATTACACAGTCTTGCGTGTGGGAGGCTTAACACCATGGCGTTAGGGTTTGGGGCTTGGGGGGTGTGAGGGTCTCGGAACGATGATCGCTGCGCATCGGCACTATTGCATGCCTAGTCAGACGGTGTCGGGGGGGCGACTGTCGTGTTCCACATGCCGAAACTTATTCGGATTGTGGTGGTTGTTGGCTCAAGGTATAAGTCCGGAAGCATACTGTATCAGTAACTGTGCGGGACAGCCTCGAAACGACCCGTTCCTTGGAAGCCAAGCACAGCGCATTTCACAGAAGAGTTGCAGCAACAGTGCCGTCACTGGAACCGATTGCCACACACACAACACAACAGCGGCGACACACTGCTCCATGCCTACAACTCCCGTAATCGTGGCGAAACATGACCCCGTCGTTAACGCAACAGATTCTAGGAGAAACAAAGCCACTCTCCCTGCCCTGCCTCAGAGCTGCCTGTTTGGGTGCTGCCACCCGTGTCTTCGCCCTGTCCATGAGGATTGGGAACATGGGCAGTTCACGGTTTAGACTTACGCTTCAGGGGATCTGCGCGTTTCGGGGTCATGCCTTAGAGGCGTGCAGTCATCGACTCATGTGGCAACCGCATGTCAGAGACATGGCAAAAGCTCTCAGATTGACAACACCGCTGTTCATGCTCTATTCACGAAGCCCCTGCTCGAAACTCCGAGAGCTCGTATAACGGAGTCCCCCATGAAGAGGAGGGCTTTACAGCCTTCTGGCTCCGGCTTGCTTTGTTGTTGGTCGATCTCTTGATCTCACCTGGCGGGACATGGCACACGGACCCGATATGTCTCCACACTGAGATGGCTGTGGGTGTTATACAACGGTAATGTCATCAGGGTTGAGATGGGTTGTCGGTCGAGGCCACGGATGCTGAGACCCTCTCAAATCACAGGCAACCGGACAAAGAGGCTGGAAAACATGCAAGAGTTGCGATCAACCTTGTCCTCTTCCTCTTCCTCATCGTAACCCTGCCGGAGCCGCAGTTTTCTACCATTACCACTACTACCACTATTGCTGCGATGACTACGAATTCTCCTCTTACTGCTCTTAGAAGTACTGCTGCTACTGCTACTGATTTGCTATTGTCGCTGAATTTTCATTGCGATGCTTAGGATTATTACGACGTTTCACGATTGTTGCGATTGGTAGCATTTGCTAAGATTCCTAGTACTACTAGTATTTCTAATCTAGTACTAATCCGAGATCTGTTGAATTAATACCTTCATATTTAAAGTGTTTTTCGTCGCATGGGGAAATACCACCACATGTAAAGAACTTTTTCCGGGGGGGGGGGGGTCAAATCTTCAACAGAGCTTCAATGCATTCCTATTGTTTTCAATACATTCCCATTTTTAAACTAGAGAATCAATATGTTGCCATGGTCTTATTGCGGTGCCCTGCCTTTCTTATTGCCGGGGGGGGGGGGAGGGAGGGCCGGGGCACACCAACTAAACAGATGCTCGGAGTACTACAATTTCTGATGTTACCATTAGAACTATTATTACGATTATACTGTTCTTACCATTATTTACACGATTACTGCTAATTATTCCTGCTATCATCATCAGAGACCCTGTTGGGTCTGGGCGGCCTCGTCCGGCCCATTAGGCTGGTATTTCTGCCTGGGCTGCACAGCTAGCTCAATCGACAACGCTGCTATGCACGCAATTCAGGCAACACCTTTCCTAGGGTGGCCCCTGACACCCTATTCAAGAACAGTCCCAAAATAAATCGTCTTCAATCCAATAAGGAGAAGACCTCCTACCTTCATGTCCAAGCACATTGAAGGGTTTCGACAGATACTGCCCGAGATGACACATGACGTCGACCCTCCATCAGCACCCTACATTTGGAAAAGATTCCTGCGGTCCAGAGAACAAGCTGATCCAACCGTGGTTATGTTCCGAAGCCATTTCTGCAAGACAGCTGTTCGCTAAACAGAAAGTGGCGGCTTCGCACATCTGCGTAGGAAACTAACTCTTGAGATGTCTTTCCATTTCGTAGCAGTAGTAATCAATTACAGCCATCATACGAGTGATAGAAGCGAAAGACATAAGATGCATAGTCTTAGGTAGTATACTCACAGGAGTAATTTGCAGTCGCAATCGCCGTGAAAATAGTCGTATTCGTGATCGAACTACTCGCAGCATATACTGATAGGTGGCAAGAAGGATGACAGTACTATACAAGACTAAGATCATAGTAATTCTAGTGACAACGTTGACAATCGTGAACAAAAAAGACACGCGAAACTCGTGTGAACAGTGATTAATCGTCATGATCGGAATGACAATACTACTGGTAGTAGTGAAAAACACTGCAAGACTAAATATCGGAGCAATAAAACTAGAATAATGTTAATGGCAAGCAAGGCAATGACAGTCGTAAAGGAAACAAAAATACGAGAAATAGCGGACATGATAGTGATACTAGAAATATGACGAAGATCCTGATCGCAACAACCTTCAAAACAGTGTAATGACAATCTTTCCAACATTGATGTGAGGCTTCACTCCGTGCATCACGAAAGGGTTGTGCTGCTGTGAAAGGGAGGGGGAACAAGTTCTTCTTGGCACAAAAGCAGAATGGTGTGCGATCCGCCCCTGATGGAGCTGCCCATGACATCACTGGAACATACGACGGTAAACAAGTATACGTCAAAAATGGCAGTTCAACATTGACGGAAGTAGAAGCTATGGGCTAGTTCAGGAATGGGAAGCTGCTGAACCTGTCAGGAACGGATATTTAGCAGCAATTTAGCACATGTTCCAGAAACAAAGCTGCCATGGGAAATGGCATCGACAATCACGAATGGTTGCACCATACTGCATGCTAGCCTTGTCCCGCATCCGTAAAATGCGCTGTGGTCGTGGCACGGAGATCTCCACGCCGTCGATCAAATGGTTTTCACCCTTGGCGGTGCCAGCAATGCATGCCAGAGCTCTCACATCTTGCCTCCTGGGCTCTGAAAAACCGAACCACGAGGTGCATCCGAGATGGGAGCCTTGTCCAGCACCTGCAGAAGCTCCGGGTGCTCTTATACTACGACCGGTGTTATGGCTTTTGCCACTGTGATGAACATATTGTATCTCTGCTGTTGCTGTTGCTTATCACTATTCATTGCACTGATTGCTTTAACTCCTCTTGTTGTTGCTCTTCTCCTCTGACGCTAACACCGACTCGCACTCTTGCCCTTACTCTTACGATGGCGGCTCAAAATCTGACTATCTTTAGTTCTACTTCTTGTTGTTATTGGCCCCACAGGGTTTCAGGTTCAGGACGGAAGTGGCCCGGATCGACAAGTTACCCGGAAGGCTTATGACTGTCATACGCATGGAGATGCCGCACATGCCGCCGCAAGTTTCTGACACAGTGGGGGCAACTCTTTGTTCCTTGTGTGGGTGCTCCTTGCTGCGGACACACACACACACAGAGACAAAGATTCTATACCAGCAGGGCAGAAAAGGGATTAGAAAACAAAACAACAAAAAAAACATAAATGACAAAAACTCACAAATCCAAAGCCTTGAACCCGGTTGGGAAGCCCACATCCGGGTCCAACGCGGCTCTTGAAGGGCATGTTTTCGGGATCCCAAAAACGACCCCGGAGCGCCATCGTTCCTATTTTAACCTTGGCCGAAAACGCGTTGTTGATGCTTTTCTAGGGGGTATCGACAACCCCAAATGACCCCAAAAAGATCGCGCATCATGAGCATCAGCGGGTGAGGCCTCGGGTTTCGGAAGCGGCTGGGAGCCTCGAAAAAGCAGGAAACGCGGCAAATACCGTGGTTGTCGTGCGGTTTTGGACGTTTCCGTGTTGAGGCCGCAAGCCACCAATGCCTTGAAGCCGGAGCCGATGCTGCTCACGATGCACGGTTCAAAGGACACAATACCCCGCACCTGTGGGAAGAACAAAAAAGAAGGGCGCGCACTCGCACCCGCAGAGTTCAACATACCAGCACGCCAGACACAGACACCCCGGTTGCTCTTAGACCCTCCAACCCCCCCATCATTATTCGTCACCGTGGCCTTCTGGACGGCCGCAGGATCCTGCATCACTACAAGGCCGAAATTGCCTGGCAAGGCCAGGAAGCAGGAGGTCTCCTAGTAAACCTCTGGTAGGGTCAAGAACGTGCAGGGCGTGCAGGGTCTTCAAAGCTTTCTCTTCCTGGTAAACTGAGATTGAGGCCCAATGGTCACAAGAGCTCTTTCTGAGCAACGTGGGCTGCCAACAACAGTATACTTCATGGGTACTGGGCAGTTCTTCTTGCAGCATGCTGAGAATTACGAAGTCTTTGAGGGGATTATGCTGAAAACTGCTTAGGCTCAAAAATATGTTCTTGCTACACGTCCAAAATACTCTTGGGAATCTGTTTGTGGGGTTCCCAAATTGCAAACCTGGGCAACCCTGCCCTGGCCTGGTCGCATGCGGGCGGATTGCCCAGAGTTCGGCATGGGTTTCACCTGCTGGTGGGATGTCCACGCAGTTGAGTTTCTATCCAGGAACCAGCAACCCATAGCCCTCTCGTAACCCACACCTCATTTTCTGATTTTCTCGTCAGCCTATCGTTCAGAAGCTTGGAGCTCGCAGGGCTTATAGAATTTGTTCTGTGAGCCCAATACATCCTGGGCTGACGCCCTAAACGGCCCTAGACCCAAAAACGCCCAAATGCCACTGCACAAAGGAACAGCCCTGGCCTTGGAATGTGCCACGCACACTTGAAGCACCTGCAGGTCAAATCACGGCTGTGACTCCTTGCGCCCTCCCACGCCCGCATGGGAAAACCTCACAACCCCAAACGGCTTAAAAATCGAGGTTTCGGGCTTAGCGACCTTAACTTAATGAAGAGTGGGGGAGGTAGGGAGTCGCTGGACTGGAAGGCCTGCCCTTAAACGCTCGCGGCCCGCCCCTGCCTTGCCGTACTTTGCGTAATGACCTCTCACAAGGGGCGGAAGAGAGGTTTGGGGGCTCAGGATCTATGTTTTGGGGCTTCAGGGGTTTGGAGAGGGGGGAGGTGGGTTCCGTATCGCCACGGGTAAAGGCCCAACACCTTAAACCAAAGAGGCCCTAACCCTCTAACACCGAAAGGCCCAAACACCTCCCCAGACCGGCCTTCAAGAAGTGCCTTAGAGCGGAATCCGAGCTTGTTGATCCGGCGTACGATGAAGATGCACCTGCTTCGAGCTGAGGTCTGCCCACAAGGCTTAAAGGGCTTGTAGGGCTTCTAGCGCTAGGCTGTAGGAGTTTTGGTTGAGGTCCTTTAACAACCTTCGGAGTCTCAGCTGCGTGACCTGAAGACCTGGACCCCACTGCTCCAGCTCAGCATGAAGAAGCCGGAAACTCCCGGAATGGCTGCAACCTGTTTGCAACCTCTACTCGCTCGGGTCGTCGACCCCCAAACTGCCCCGAACCAAACCCAAATCCTTCGAAACACCCAAAGCCCCAAACACCTAAACCCCCTTCCCCCCCTAAAAGATGCCTCGGGTTCTCGGAGCGAAGCTCCTCCAGATATCCTCGCCTGGGTTGGGGGTTCAGAGTCTGAGTTCGCGCCAAAGATCTCGGCGTTTGGGTAGGGTTTTGCAGTGGGTTTCGGGGTCTTAGTCTCGGGTTCAGGCTGGCTTCGAGATTTAGCGGTCGGAGTTTGCGGTTGGGCAAGGCTTGGGCGTGGAAGCTTACGCTGCTAGGAACCCCGTGTCCCACTTCCACTACCGCGCCCTTGTGCCCTAAAATCCTTCCCAGAGTTCAGCCCTGGTCCCGGTGAGCGCAGAAACTGCCGGCGTTTCAAAGGTTTAGGGTTCAGGGTTTAGGACTTACGGTTGTTACAAGAGCCCCCCTTGGTCCCGCACAGGGTTTGCTGTGGCTTCAGTTTCGCCCGCAGGCGTATTTGTTCCTGGAGCTGGAAGATGCACTTAAGTACGGGGCCTGTGTGACTGGAATGGGTATTCTGAGCCATTCGTGGTGTAAGCACACAAAGGCTATCAGGTCCCTTAAATCGCCCAATCCCGGAATCTCCTGTCCAAAAGATCTGGACGTGGGGGGTCACAAGGCATGGAGACGCTCCGCCTTTAAGACTCCGGGCCCTCCTTGTGACTCTCAAAGCCTGCTCAAGATTCTACCAGCATTGACGTCCGCGTTATCTACAGGAACTGTCAAATCACCCGTCTGCAAACATGGCAACCCGACCCACATGTGCACAGCATGCTTCAGCCATCTTGAGCCTTGGAGTGTCACTGATTTATTGCTCTTGCACAGCTTAGATCCCAGGTCCAAACATGAGGGCGCACATGATGAAAGTCCTTGTCGAACTCATGTCGCAACCGGCTGCTCCGCCGGCTTGAGTCGCTCATGGGACTCCCCTCCACCGGAGATGCCATCCTGTTCAAGTTGCCAGTCGTCCTGAGCACAGAACTCACTGAAGTGAATTCGTCAGACGCGAACAAGCAAAAGCTGGCCAGCAGAAGAAGAAGAAGAAGAAGAAGAAGAAGAAGAAGAAGAAAAAAAAAATGACGGGAGGAAGCAGACTCTTGAATGTGGATGTGGCTTTAAGGTTTTAAGCTTCTCCTGTACTGCTAACTGAGAATGCTACTTTTGCCTTTGCTGTGCTTTAACCCGAAGGCCCGAGACAAGGCTTCACACGCTCCCGAACCATGCTGATCCACATACTGTTTGGGCGCGGTGCAGGAGTTGAATCACTAATGATCCATGTGCTACTTGCTACCTGTAGTTGGACCTGGCGAAACATTGAGTCAGGACACTCGCCACCGTGCGGATGAAGTGCTTGACCAAGTGCCTCCACTGATGTAGTTTCATATTGGCGATTGATGGGTCAGATGACAGCTGATTGCAACATATTAACATGTATGGAGCAGCCTTTTCAAACCCTACATCTCCACTGTAGCCTGTTTCCTTCAAGATGCAACGTCCAGTTCGAGCTGCATGCTTCAAGAACGAAAGGAGGCGGCCACTGGCACCGCAGTCAGCATTCGACCCACCCACCTTGCCTGATGCAGCGAACGCTGCGTGAACGGAGCCTGCTTGGCACACTTTGGAACAGCCCAAAGAAACTACAGCAGCTCTTCAGGCTACACATTTTTGAACAAACCACCCCTTACCGGAGCTTGCGCAAAGGTAGCTCATCAGAAGAATTGAGGGCAAGCGTCTTGCAACAGCTTTGCGGGGTCGTGAAAGACTTGTGCAGCCAACTCCCCCTGAATCGCAGATGAAGGCCTCAGGCATTGTGGTCGCTTTAGTCGGCGGTTGGACCTCCCGCCTCGGTGGGATCAGTGCCAGACTTTGGTTCGGGCTTAGGGGTTGGGGTTGGGGTTTCGGGTTAAGAAACTTACAAACAAACACTGGTCGTTCTGCGCTGAGACAAGCGGCTGAAGAACGCCATAACCCTCGCTGAAACCTAGACACAATGCCCACAAGCACCGGCAAATGTACGATCTTAACCCTACCACCGCAAACCCTTCCTCAATTCATGATGCCCAAATACTCCACTTCACAAAGCCCCATCAATTATCCAAGTCCTTCAGAGTGCAGTGGGATTGTGGATTGAAATTACTGACTACCACATGCTGACCCCACTCAGCTCCCGACGCCATGCCAGGGGGGGGAACGCCCTGCAACTTTGCGGGCGCGCCGGCACTGGCCTAGAGCGGGTTTAGGGCTTGGGGCTCAGGATTTGGATGGCTTAACTGTCGGGTTTGCATGAAGGCATGTCGTGGTTTTACCCTGTGAACAGTTTGTGGCAAGAGACGCCTCAGATTTCATACTAAAACCGATGCTTTGAATATGGAAGAGTGAATAGTGCGTGTCTGAAGCTCTTTTGCCTCGCGTGGATACTTGTCCTCGTGCTCATGATCGTACCACAATCTGCAGCAAAGCAACCAGCTCTGACAAATTCATTTCCGAAATTTCCGCTGGGGGTACGCAATCTGTGCGCCAACCAAGTACAAGCGAGTCTCTGCTGAAATGCGTGGGGAACGAGTCTCGCCCAGGCACTCTCCCCACAAGCGAGGTGCCCGAAAGGTGCGAACCACAACTGGTGCGACACCCTGTGGCCAGGAGGTGTCCAGGGTCTCAACTTCAAAACGCAACACTGCTCTCGCCCGCTGACCAGCTCGGCAGGCACAGTCGGCCCGCGCTCATGAGTCGGCAAGGAGCTTCCAGAAACCTGCAGATGTTCTGAGAGGTAGCCTGGCAGCACTGCCGAAGCCGAACCGCACAAAGACGACAGCTCCCAGCAAGTGTCACGAGGACTGCAAAGGGGTACTTTGGCACGCAAGAAGGCGAAGAGAAGGCAAGGTAACCTTCAGGAGTTTCGTGCAAGGATGAAGGCGGTTCTGCGCTGGAGCAGGGGAGCGAGACGAAGTTGTTGGGCCTGGGTGCAAGAAAATTCCTGGACGGGTCCTGGATGGGTGCGGTTCTGGCGGTGCAGAGCATCGGGGGCCTGTTAGGGGTCGATGCACGGCGCGGCCCGAGAAGAATCACTACGGTCAACAGATGTGGTGGAGGCTGCGAGAAACGGTCTTCTAATAGTGCAGAACCCAGCCCCCGAAGCCCTGCACAACCAACCAGCAAGACCCCAAAAGTTGGCTCTTACTGGCTTATGGCCGCTCCACCTAACGCAGCGAGGCCCACAAAGGCTGCAGCTACCGTCACACAAAGCTTGAGCAGCGCATCAGTTCGCCTGCTGCGCTTTTCAAATTCTCAATCCCAGTCCCTCAGCCCTAACCCCTAAGCTGGGCCCCATTTCAGAAGCCTCAACACTGGGTAGGCCTTGAGATATGAACCATCAAGATAGTTCAGCTTCTGGCGATTCAGTTTGACAATAGATTCACAATTGTTTTTTTCTTTTTTGTGAATATGGCAGTCTCAATGGTAAGGGTTCGCGGGTTAGGGTTCCTTAAGCCATGGTCCAGACCGACCAGAACAGGGCTTTGACAGGGTTGATCTGAACTTTTGGGGGTCTCTTGGGGGGTTCATGGAACCCTGCCCCCGCCCCCCACCCCCACCCACCCCTTCACAAAACTCGGGCCTGGCTCTGTTGCTTCGCCTCCATGAGTTGCATTAGTTGAGCCACCTTCCGAGGTGCGGTTTCTGGGTTTTAGGGTATTTAGGGTTGAAGGGTGTAGGATTCAGAGTTTGATGTAAGGGTTTATATTGGGAGGGAAGCTATGCTGGAGTGTTCCAACTCAATACATCAAGCCCATCTGTGTGCCTGCGCTTCGGCTGCCTGTGCACGGGCCTGGCAGCTATCCAGCGCGGCTGCCTGTCGCGTGTCGCAATGAAACGAAAATGCGGAGGCTTGGAGTGCTGAGCCGCAAGTGACAGGGGGATACCTGCACATTTCAAAGCCCAGGGAGGCAGTGGCCAGGTTGCTCTTGCGGAACTGCACAGCCGGCAAGACAAAAGAGCGTTCTCTCAACGGGGCGGCGCACCATGCCCATCTGTGACAAAGGCAGACCCTGGTTTGCCAAATACGGATTAGGCCTCGGCAGATGCCAAAAAGCTGACATCTTCCAGACTGAGCATCTATGTTATGCGTCTATGGTACTGTAGGCAGCTGCATGATCAACCTCATTGGGTGCCGAATCAGCAAATCTGAGGCTCTTGTATCATGGAACCACTGAATACAACTGATCAAAGGTAGAAAAGGTCCCTTATTGCGTGTCTTAGTCTGCAGAAGTACATCGAGGCCCAAGCATCGACAGCGGGGGCGATAGCGAAGGCGAGAGCGCGGTGGAGCTGGCGTGTTGGCGGAGCTTTGCCGGAGCTTTGTTTAGTGCAAGATTATCAAGATTCAGGGTTTAGCAGGTTTAGCAGACAGCTCGGCGCAGAGCGCAGGCACCTTGACACGCTCAGCCCAAGCCCACGCCAAAGAAACCCTTGAAGCAATTGACTTATTGGGGGGCCAAATCTTGGCTGCACTAAACCCCACAAGCCTCAAACTAAACAGCATCACACTGCCCTAAACTTCCTACCGTTTACCGCTGGGAGGGAAGTTCGGCAGCACAAGCAGCAGCAAATTGCTGCGATCCTGCGGGCTTCCGAAAGAACAGCGCGTTCAGTCGCGCAAGACCTCCCTAAACCCTAAACTCTAAACCCCAAACCCCTCCTGGGTGGCAATTGAGGAGTTGGCATGGTCAGCCCCAGCCTCAGCGGTGGAACTCCAGGTGGCATGGGTAGTGGAAGCATAAAGACAATGAACTTCTTCAATGTGTGTATATGTGCATGTATTACATACAAGCACACATATATCATATATCATACTACAATATATATATATATATACATATATACATATATACATAAATATGGCGCCATGAAACTTGCCAGAGCCTGGGACCCGGGCAGGTTCTGATAAGCATGTCCTGGTAGCATTCTCCCTTTTCTTCTGCGTCTGCAAGGAACAGTTGCAGACTTGCAGACTCCTGCCAGGATCGAAGATTCGGAAACTGCGGCTTTAGAAGGGGTTTGTCTAGTCTGTACAGGCTTAGGGGTTTCAGGCTTGCGGGGTCGGCTTGGGATTGGCTCTCGACTTTTTCGTGTCTCGCATCAACGTTGGGGCGGGTGCCGGGGGGCAGGGTCCCCTGAATTATCAAGGCTCGGCTCTCCACCCTAGCACTTCCGCGCCCGCCTGTCCAAGCCGTCCCCACGGGAAACAAGTAGGCGTAGGGACGGCAGGCCGAAGCAAATCGCTGCGGGCCAAAACGACACAAAGACGGTGACAAAGTTTGGGTCGTTAGGCCTAGGGTTTATGATTTAATGGTTCGAGGGCTCTGGGGACAGAAGCCCCCAAGGCGGGGGGAGGCAGCTGATGCTCGAGACAGTTTGTGAGGACACACATGGCCGCTACGCACTCACGACAGCCGACATTGCCTCAGTGGACCAAACCTTACATCTCCCCGATACAGAGGCTGACCCAGATGCCATTGCACCTTGGCCTCGGTTTACCCCTGACAGACACCACGGAGGATTAGGGCTTCGGGCATTCTACAATTCTTACAGTGAGACGTCGGCTGCAAGCAGCACCCAGAAAAGACTTTTTTGCCCGTCGTGCTGGCTCAACTTGTCGAGCGCCCCGGAGCAGGATCTTCGAGGGAGCGGGCTTCGTTCCATGTGCCATCTACTTAGCAACCGGTAAGGGCCAGGTTGGGCTCAGGGTTCAAGGATGCTTCGATGCAGTTGCAGGGTACTCCGTCGAGGCACATGCCGCCCTCGGGCAAGAGAGATTCAACATGAGAGTGGCATGCGAGGCGTCTGAAGTGCCATGATTTGGACACCTCCGTAGCAACCAATGCTATTCTGTTGAACGCCCACAAACAAGTCTATCCAAATCAGTCGGCAAGCACGCCGCTGTAGATGCTGCCGACATCAAGATGAGGTCGAAGGGAGGGGGGGGCCTTTCTTTGACCGCATGTTGTCACACTTTTGTCCGGACCGTCTCTTTGCAGCTGCATCTTGCGTGCGTTTGAGCACAACTGCCGGCCACGGTGGGAAGATGGGAGTTGAGAGTCACAGTTTAGGGTTTAGGAATCTACAGTTTATTGTTGGTGGGTCCATATGGAAGCCTATCTTTATGCAGCGCCTGCATGCAAAACAACTCCTCAATGCTGTTTGCACCCTCAACCCAAAGCCCTCCGACCAAGTTTTCACCCTAAACCGGGGTTGAGGGTTCGTTCGATGCATGACAGCAGTGGGCTCTCCAGCTTCTCACAGGCCCTTTGGTGGAAGAGTTCAATCTAGTTGCTTACGACTCAACTCATGAACCCCCTCAAGCCCTCTTCAAACGGCCATGATCCGTAAGCACGCTTAGAGCCCTAAAGGGGCGTTGGGCACTCCACCTGGTGACTGCCTCAAATCCCTTTGTGAGACGCCGAGGCCTTCCAAACAAAAGATAACGGCAAAGGGCGACCCCTGTAGCCGGGCCAAGGGCCTGGGCTGGGATGGGAGGTCCTTTGGGGACACTGGTTCAGGGAGGATTTCCCATCTTTTTTGGCGTTTGCGGAGCAAGGAGTGGGAAGGATAGATCAAAATCTGACATGACAGCATGGCATACTTCATCATGTAGTTTGGTCATGTCATGTGTTTATCATATCATATTATCATCTTACCACATCATCACATATCAGATGGGTCTTCTCTTGGCTCAACTTGCAGATGTGAACGAAAGCTTCACCTACGAACTGCACGTTACGTCTCCCTGGCGGAAGGTCGCCACAGCAGTTGCCGTCCCCCCGCTTCTGCATCCGATTTTGTGGTACGAAACGCGAAACAGCAAGCCCTTCCACCCATTGAACTGAGGCAGTGTTTCTGGTACCGAATGCATTAGTGCTCGTGCATCTCAGCCTTTTGTCGCGTCGCAGTCTCTAGGGCTTTCAATCTGGAAGGCTCTGCTTCCACTTTCGCCCCCCCCAGGACTGGCTCATCCATAACAGGAGGGATCAAACTCAAGTCTTCCACTGACCAACGGCAGGTCATGGGAACAATCCACAACTGCAAGAGGCATGCAGTGTAGAGATCCACTCCAAAACTCTGCGCCAGTCACAGGTTGGGGCGGTGAGGGCGGGATGCTGAAAGGCTGCTAGATATAACAAGCGATCGCAAGGCTTCAGCACTCACACTAACTTTCGACACGAATGTCAAGTGCTCGTGCATCTCAGCCTTTTGTCGCGTCGCAGTCTCTAGGGCTTTCAATCTGGAAGGCTCTGCTTCCACTTTCGCCCCCCCCAGGACTGGCTCATCCATAACAGGAGGGATCAAACTCAAGTCTTCCACTGACCAACGGCAGGTCATGGGAACAATCCACAACTGCAAGAGGCATGCAGTGTAGAGATCCACTCCAAAACTCTGCGCCAGTCACATGTTGGGGCTACAAGTCTTATGCTGGGGAAGAGGCAACTGGGCCCCTTCCACGTCCCCATTCACGGCGAAGCTGTAAAGTGGGAATTAAAGCGCGAAAGCAACTCTTTGGAGGCAGTGGACAAGCGGATGTCGGTGAGGTTGGCCAAGCCATCCTGGAGGTAGACCCGCGCGGCAGCGAGAGACTGCCAGCGGCCTCGAAGGAGGATCTGCTCCAGAGCTACTCCGTGCTGCAGCAAAAAGGTGCCTCCACCTCGTCTGAGGGAGTACGGCTGGAAATTGAGGTTCTGAAGGTGAAAACAACTGCACATGTGGCGGAAAGAAGTGCGGAAGCGTTGGGCGCTATGCATCCAGATCACACCTGGCAGGCCCTGCGCAGCTCGGATGGACACAAGAGTCCGAAGGGCCTCCACCACTGCTGCGTCAGAGACGGTGACAGCTTCAAAAGCGCCAGCACGGCGACTGGTTTTAGTCAGCCGGAGATTAAGCACGGCCCGCGCGGCGCCTAACTGTACATCTTCAAGTTTTAACGAAAGAAGCTCACCTGTGCGCAAAAGACAATGGAAGCCTAAACCTACCAGCACCCCTAGCTCAAGTTGGTTGGTGAAGACACACCAAGCAAGAAAGGCCGAGGCCACCTCGGCCGGGAGCGGGGGTGCGCGGCAGGGCGGTTCTAATCTTCGCCATGTTCTGAAAAGTCTCCAAGAAAGATGAAGTTGTCTTCGACATTGAGGCCACAAACACTGAAGACCGGAGAGGGCATCACCGATGGTTCCTAGGGGCAAACCTCGGCCCCACATCAGCTCCACCCAGTCTGCGGCACATGCATCTAGCTCGGAAAAAGTGTGAACAAACTGCACAAAAGGCCAAAGCAGCCGGACCGCTCTGCGGTACCTTTCAAGCGTTTGGGGCCTGACAGCTGCTTGCCAAAGCGAAATGCCACGACGCGCGGCAGCACGCGACGAGTTGCTGGGTCTCGGGGCCATGGTTGTCACGCCCTGCTGCCCTCGTCAGCAGGGTTTTCGGCGCTGTCAACGTGACCCATAAGCAGAGAGACATGCATGGCCAAGACATGAGCCGAAATTTGACGAGTTAAAGAGAGAAGCATGCGCGAGGACGTCCGGCCTTTGCAGACAATTGAGAGAGTGACGAAACTGTCAACAAGATGAACCAGTCGCTTTCCTAAGTGTCCCGGCCTGCTGGCGCGCCATTGCAAGGAAAGAAGCAGTGCTCGCATCTCTTGGGCATTGATGTGGTGCGCGAACTTCCATCTCTTTTGATAGACTTGTTTCCAGGTCCACCAAACGGCATCCACACTTTGTCGCACACCCTTCGAGGGCGCAAACAACTCGCCAGTGCTGATGCGGACATCTGACCCAGTATGATTGGCACCCAGACACAATTTGGACGCAATCACTTCTTCTCCAGGTGCTGAGAGGTTCAGAGAACTGCTACCGTAGTCCTTCCAGCGCCCCATTGGAGCAAATGTGCCTGGACGGGCGCAGTGCCCTGGAGCCAAGCCGAGCACATTGAGTAGCTCTTGGGCGCCGAGCTCGGGCCGAAAGGCGCGGCACAATTGGCCTGCCACCCAGCCAAAGGATAGCATACTGAAACTGTCTCCAACGAGGCTTAGTCTTTCATCTTCGACTGCTCGGGCTGATTTCTTTGCCTCTGAAGCGGGCAGGCAAAACGCCGTATGTCTTGCTCCATATCCCATGAGGATTTCTCTTTCACCAGCATCGGGGTAACGAAGATTGTCACCGTCTGACAACAGAAATGCTTCCTTGTACTGGTAGGGGGGAAACCGGTAGCAATCTGCTGCCCATCTCTCGAGCGCATCCTGCGGAGTCCGCCCAAGCCCAGCAGGTGCTGGCGGGGGCTCTGCGCGCGGAATCGACTTCATGAAGGTGGGGAGCTTTGACGAGGGCTCAACACGATGCCACCCGAGCCGGGCCCACTGTGACTGGGGTGGTTCCGAGGCTGTCATACATACCTCAACAAACCCTTTTCTCTTCACGAAAGATGCCCCTTCGGTTTCATGCGGCCACTCAGAGATCCAAGCGAAACGCGGCCTGCTATAACAGAGCACATCTGCGGGGTCCAGCCTTAATGGGGCGACCCCAAGCCAAGTGCTGATTTCATCTCGCGCTGCGACATCCATGGATGAGACGTTTTCAACGACCCACTTGACTTTAGCAATCCCATCAAACTCTTCTGCGACCAAGCCAATGACCTCGTACAGCTTGAAAAACAGGTTCGAGCCTTCGCCGGCAAGATTCTTCCTGCCATGCCGTGCTGAAGACAAATGCACGCAGGGAAATCCTCCCCAAACGTGAACTTCTTTGACTGAAGGAAAGCGGCCGACCCATTCTCTGACCATGCTTCTGTCCACGTCACTGACGTCTTCATACTGCAGTGCGTGGGGCCAGGCACGCTTCACGACACGGTTTGCCGGTTTGTGCCATTCGATCGAGACCAGACCTGAGGCACGGACGCCCGCAAGGTCGTATGCCCGAAAGGCTCCTCCAATGCCGTTAAAGAGCGAAATTACCAACAAAGGCTGGACGCTGCAATGATTAGAAGGTTCACTCCACGCACAAGCCAGTGACTTGCCGGACCAGGAAAGTCCTGTGGAGACACAAATGGCCCCACCCTTTTCGGATGCGTCAGTGGCCACAACCACAGGATGGACCTGGCGCGAGAGGTCGCAGCAGCACAGCGGGCTGAGGAGAACAGCCATGAACAGCTCTACGCTAGCACGTCGCTTGACAGCCAGCGGGCAGTTAACAGATGCTGCTTTCCAGATCTCTGAAAATATCGCAAACAAGGGCCTTCGAAACTGTAGAAGAAAAGCCCATCGTCCGGCAAGGACTTGCAGTCTTTTCTCTTTCACGACCTTCCCGAGCAAAACCTGTCCAAGCGAGGCAACGCAAGTTTTCCACAGCCTAGCGGTTCCGCCACTAAGCTTGCCAAGGTCTCCATCAATCTCAGCTCCAAGCTCATGGGCAACGCCAGCGAACTCAACATTCTTATCACTGGCACACAGAATGCCGAAACTATCCCAGCCATCAAGCGCGGCACGGAAATGCTTTGCCCCATCTTTGCCTGATTGAGAGCTTGAAGGACTCTCAACCTGGCAAGAAATGAAATTGTCAAGGTAAACTTGCCACCAAGAGTGCTGACCTCCCTCGCGCCAGCATTTAATCAGCCATGGAGGGACAGAGCGATCTTTACGTATCTCGTGCGACTCCGGCAAACGCGATTCGAGAAGAACTCGCCGGCTAATGCACTGCATTACCCCCACAGCTGATTTCCACCCCATTGGCAAAGTGCAGCAAGCAATCGTGAAGCGCTCGTCAGACTCAATCCCCAGTTCGTGACCCGAGAGATCAAAATTGAGACAAAACCAAGGCAGCCACACATCAGGCAGGGAAAAAAGATAAAATGCGCATGCCATGTCGCACTGAAAAGCAGTAAGCGTTTCACCTTCTCCCAGAATGATTGACTGCCATTTTGCGATAGCAGGAAGACTCTCAATGTGACCTCCGATGATCTTTTGAACCCGATTCGACGGAATCAGATTTATTATTGTTCTCAATACTGGCCTCCCGTCTTCCAATGTCTTTGGCTTCGGGACGCCAAAAAGACCATTTAGGATTCGCTCATTTGCAACACATCCAACATCACTCAGCTTCATAGGTTTGCAGACCCCTCTCTCAACAAGCAATCTCGCCACGGCGGCCCCAGCCCCAGCCGAGACATGCACCTTTGCTCTGCACGGACCGGGCTCGATCTCGGAACTCTGCAACATAGATAGCCGAGGATCGCTCAGGAACCGCTTGGTTCCACCATCGACCAGATCAAGGGCGTTAACCCGCCCACCGGCTCCAGCGGGTGGGAGAGCTGGCTCCATCTGTTCCACCGTCAATGGCCTGAGGGGCAGGATCTCTTCACCCGTGTAGCTTAGAACAGCTTTGTCCAGCTCTTTCCATATTGAGTCCAAGTCAACGCGATCAAACCCAGAGGATCCTCGCTCCAGCAACTTTGCAACCTCACCTCGAAGCAAGCACTCAACCTCAGGATTGACCCTGTTGCCAGCCTTCTTAGAAGGGCACGGCGAAACGATTAACTCATGAAAGCCTGCCAGCCAGTTGATTCCGCACGCAATGCAAAAGAACCATGCGTCCAAAGAGAGCTCGTTACAAAAACTCAAACCCTCGAAGGGCCGTGACTTAAGCGACCAAACTGTACTGGTCTCAGAGACTCGCAGGGGGAGGAGCGGCAGGTGTTTTGACCGGCCCTCCTGAGGACTGCGACCGTCTCGAAATAAAAACTTCAGGCTCACACCCTGTACAGAGAAGTGATCATTTAGGATCCCCCATGCGAGCCATGGGCCGAGTTCAGCAAAGCTGGTGACTGAGGGGGGCCAGCCAGCGGCCTCACTCGCCCCGGGCCCGTGGAAGCCCGCAGCCAGCCCAACGGGGCGGCACGCGCGCGACCCACAGCCGGTGCGAGCGAGGCCAGCGGCACGGCACTCCTCGTCACCACTTGCATTCACTTCACCTTTGCGCCTTTCGCCGTCTCGGCGGTCTCCTTCTCCTTCTCCTTCCCTTTCTCGCTTCCTTTCCACGGCTTTCCTTTCCATTTTCCTTTTGCCTTTCCTTTTCCCCAACTTTGCCATCCTCCTCCTTCCTGGCCCTTTCCATCGTGGTTTTCCACTCCTTTTCCGTCTCTCCACCAATTTCCGTCGCCACGCTTCCATGAACTTTCCGACTTTGCCACCAGTCGAGCATGCCGTTGAGCCGCCAGCAGGGTCTCTGGCCTTGCAATGCTCCCACTGTCCATCGTCTCGACCTCTAGATACTTCGCCGTGTTCCAACTCCCTGTGGACGCTGCGACTTCTAGGGCCATTATGCGACCAGCAATGGCGTCGGCCAGTTCGTTCAGGTGCCCATCCCTGAGCAGGTCGGCACACCGCGAAAGAAGAAAAAGTTCTCGTTGATCCCGGGGCCGATGTTCGAACTTCGACCTCCAAAAAAGTTGGAAGAAGAGACTCATCTTCACTTCTCCCTTGGGACCGCTCCCCAGAGATTCTCGGCCTTCTCCTCGTTCGCGTTCCGAAAGTTGGGCCCTGGCGTGCTCCACAAGCTCCTCCATCACTGCACCCGGTTTCTTCTCGGCCTTCCTTTTGACCGGAGGCATAAGCTCCTTTTCCGAGCTTGACCCGCCTTTTGACCCCGAGCTCTCCTCTGAGCTCGTGGTCCTGCTGCTTCCTTTTCCTCGTTTCCTGGCCTTCTTCTTTCCTTTTTTCTTTTTCTTCTTCGTCCTCCGCTTTGTCGCTTGGCTGGCAACTGAACGTGCGATCACTCTGTCTGCCAGCGACCTGGGTTTGGAGCCATGGCTCCCGCGCGCAGGACTCCCACTTTTGCCGGACTCGCTCCCGATCTCCACAATCTCCTCCTTCATCCTTTGTGCTCCAGGGTGAGCTGTGGGCTGACCCGAAGTCAGAGCCGGCGCTTCCCTGCTTGGCGCTTGCTTCTTCATGTCTGCCCAAGTCACCTTTGGCCGAAGAATTGAGGGTGGAGGCTTGCCCCCCACTCCGGCACGCGCTGCCAGGCCTGCAAGCCCTTCGAAGAACTGCCCGGGAAGCCCATCCTTCCTTCCGGGTGCTCCCCGCTGCCTGGAAGAATCCTCCTGGGCGTGCGGCCCCGACGCTTGTAGCGGCTCCGGTTCCTCGAATTTCGCGTTGAAGTCCTTCAAAGCCTTCTTCCCGTGCAATGTGCAAAGGTCCCCCTGGTAAAAGAGGGGAGGCCACCATGTCAGACTGTCCACGTGGAGCACGTCCTCTGATTGATGGACCTCGCATTGCGCACACCCTTGCAGACAGAAGTGGAGTTTCCCTGACCTTGTGTTGAACATCTTGCCCAAACCTTTGTGTCTCCCTTCTGTCCCATGGTCGTTGGTCCCGAAGTACTTTGCAACATAGAGCCGCTCGCCTACGGCCTCTAGAATCCCAAAGGCCCCGTAAGCCGTGGGCCCTTCGCCCATTGCCGGAAGAGCTCCCACCACAACACTTCCTGCTTCGGGCATGAAGCTCACCCAGCTTTCCATTTGCTCCGTGGAGTACATCAAACCCACACCTGTGTCTTCCAATCGCTCCTCCTCTTCGTCCTCCTCTCCATACGGTGCACTGATAGCTTCCGTCATTGATGCCGCCTCTGGGCACTGAAATCACTCCTGTCTCTGAAGCGAAGCTCCTCACGCCCCAAACTCCTGTGAACCAAGGCCCCCTCAGGCTTCTCACCGATTCTCTGGTGTTTGCGGCCAGCACGGTGACACTTCTTGTCCTTCTTCCTTTTCTTATCCTTTCGCTCTGGACTCCTGTGGTTTCGATCGTCGCGGTGAGGATCAAGAACCCTGGTGGACACACCACCAGGCAACACAGGTGAACCTGCTTTTGGCGTAGTAGTAGCCTCAAATCCTTCTCTCTCCTTCTTCACAACTTCCTCCTCACTATCGGTCTCGTAAGTATACTCGTCGTCCACTGGTGCTGGGGTTGCCGAGGTTTTGCTAGCACGAGCCTTTCCAGCCGCTACCTCCGCGGCGTGAGACTCCTTCCTCTCAGCCTTTCCCGAAGGACAGGCACGAGAGATCGGAGAAACCGCCGGCGGACGAGCGGCACGGGAAGGCTCAGCTTGCAAATCCAAATCAGAGCGGTCAGGCGGACCAAGCAGGGTGGGACCCAAACTTCCAAGGCTCCTCACCTGGCGCACGGCCGAGAGCAGGATCTCTTCGGCCAGGTTACGAGCGCCGGGGTTGTTCCACCTCTTGCTCAGCTCCACTTGCCCTGCCTCCAGACCTCGACACCCCCAGCACCAAGTGTCGCCCTCAGCACGAGATCCCTGGCGACACTTATTGCATAAGCTCATTTGATGCTGAAAGGCTGCTAGATATAACAAGCGATCGCAAGGCTTCAGCACTCACACTAACTTTCGACACGAATGTCAACTTTGTTTATACTTCATGTTGGTTCCTGCGCCTTCGGCGTTGGCATGTTTTGGGCCTCTGTCAGTACCCTGCAACCCCAAGTCACTTCCAAAATCGACATGCTTCAGGACTTGAGGGGGAAACTGCTTGGGGCGGAATTTTATCAAGGTGAACGCAAGCTGCTCCAGAATTGAGGTCCCCACTCCAACAAAGCTCCAGGGGCGCCCCAGACGCGAAGAAGCCCTGCGACACCACCTGGCGTGATTCGGCGGGAGGCGGAAACTTGGGGACTTTACTCAAATACGCAACTCAAAGCAACAACCAAAGCCTGAATTTGCAGTACTTGTTGCTCACAGCTTGTCGCTGAGCAGATGACAATCTGCGCGTTTGGGCACAAAGGTTGTGAAATCCATTTCAGCTCAACGTAGCATTTAACCGTGGAGCAGCAGCCAAAACAGAATCAGGTCGGAATGCTGCTTGGGCAGTAGCTCACTCCTTCCCAACACAGCTCCCCGACCTGAATCCAAGCACTTCCTGCAGAGCAAACCTTCCACTTCGTAACACCCTTGCCGCGCATACGCAGGGCCTCATCAAGCTCACGCTTCGCCTGCCAGAGGAGACATCTCTGGAAATGGGGGGGGTTTACGAGAACAAGGGGCCCCGAATAAACACCCCAAATAGTAGTGTTCCCTTGTGATCAGGACCCCAATAAGGTACCCCTAAATTTCGGAAACCTCTCAAATCGCAGTGAAGCGAGGTCGAAGCGAATGCTACTGGAACGCTGTCAGCCGCACAGCATGTCCCACCGAATGGCATGCTACAGATATCAAGGCAACCCAGGAACTGGGTCCAGTTCTTGCTTAACTTGGATCAGTTCAAGGTGCTGAGGCTTGAGAATTAAATTGTGTTCCTGGTCCCCCACCGTCCGCAGCGAGGAATCGCGCGTCAAGGTCGGTGCCAGGCACCTGTTTCCAGGAGGGCAAGAGGAAGCCCTGCATGCTTGACATACCTGTTCGTACACATGCAATACATACATGCATTCATGGCAATACTAGGCCATGCATGCAGCGTACATGGGCCTGTGCACGGCCTGCACGTCAAACTCGCGGAAACATGCACATTCATGTTGATGTGCAAACACGTGGCACGAGTAAGCCCTTGATGAGGGCATGATACCCGAAACCAGAAAGAAAGCTCCGCAAGGCCGACAGCTTCAGATGGGCTTCGGTGGGGACATTTCCTCAGCAAGAGGCTCGGCCTGTTCGGCTGCATCATATCCCTGCTCAAGAATTCCCTTGACTGCTTCTCCAGGCCTGCTTGATGGCACGGTAGACGTACATGCCAGCCACAGGCATGCTAAAGCTCACGACAAAGGCCTCACAGGAAGCTGAGCGAACCCGCTGCGAAGCTGAGGACCAGGCGATCCCCTCCTTTTGAAGCCCTCAAAGTGGAATCCCTGTCATTAGAAACTCTCTTAAAACCCCAATGTCTCCCCAAGGGCCCTGGCCAGGAGTGTGCGGCTGAAGTTCGAGGACTTCTGCGCAGCGGGGGCCTGGCATGCAGTGTGAGTGCCTGGGGGGGTTGGGGGTTGAACGCTGCATCCTAAACCCACAAAGCCCTTCGGCCATAGAGTCAACCGGCCCCAAAGCCCCAAAAGCCTCAAAACCCCGAAAACCACAGTTGCAGGGCCCGTGTATGCCCGGGTCAAGTGCTTCCTGCTTCCCTGCTTCCCACCTTCGCCGCCAGCTGCACGTCCTCGGTCTGGAGCCCAGCTCCCAGCCGCTTGAAGGCAGCCTTGAGAACTTCAGATCGCTTCCTTCTAGCTCTAGCTACTTGTTGGGGGGATTTGAGGGGCTTCGGCAGTTGTGGGGGGTGTTTACGGCAAGAGACTGCTAACAAGTACATGCGGGGGTTTTCAAGAATGCGTCGTTGTTCGGTGAAGAGCTCTCTTGGACTCCTGGCCTCCATCTCACCGTCCAGAACAGTGTTCCACTCGGCCTGCTCCTTTGGGGAGCGAAACCTACTTGTGCTTAGCGAAGCGAGGGGGAGAGCTCTCTGGGGCTAGCGATCACAAATCCAATCAGGAAAGGAGCTGCATCAACATCTGTCGGACCACGTGGGAGTCCCTGCCGTGGCTCAACAAGGCATGTGTTAGCCAGTCGGCTCGGCCCGATAGCCTCAGCCTGAGTACTGAGGGCTTCTTGTGACGCATTTTCGTTGGCTCCTCGAAAAAGTCGAAAGAGCCTGAAACAGCTCTAAAAACTTAGCATCGCAATCTGCACTTACTGCAAGAGTCCTTGGCGGGGAGCGTGTCCACCATGGCGCCCATCTGCCCCCGCCAAGCCTCAAAGCAAAAAGCCGTTGAAGGAAACAGCATAAACCCTAATCCCCCCTGCCAGAATTTGGCTGCGTGAAGTAGTAGGACCCAAAAGATATATGCCAACGTCCTGGAGACCCCTCCAGCTATGCTATGCAGCCTGCTAGCAGGGGTAGGGTATTTTTTTTGTGTTTTTTTCTGGTTTTTTTTGTGTTTTTTTCTGTTTTTTTTAAGCAAGAAAGAAAGAAAGACAGAAAGAGAGAAAGAAAGAAAAAAAGAAAGAAAGACAGAAAGAGAGAAAGAAACAAAGAAAGAAAGAAAGAAAGGAAAGCAAGACAGAAAGAAAGAAAGAAAGGGAAGAAAGAAAGGAAGAAATAAAGGAAAGAAAGAAAGAAAGAAAGGAAAGCAAGACAGAAAGAAAGAAATAACTAAAGAAAGAAAGGCCGAAAGAAAGGAAAGCAAGACAGAAATAAAGAAAGAAAGAGAGAAACAAAGAAAGAAAGAAAGAGAGAAAGAAAGAAAGAAGGAAAGCAAGACAGAAAGAAAGAAAGAAAGAGAGAAAGAAAGAAAGAAAGAGAGAAAGAAAGAAAGAAAGAAAGAAAGAAAGAAAGAGAGAAAGAAAGAAAGAAAGAAAGAAAGAAAGAGAGAAAGAAAGAAAGAAAGACAGAAAGAAAGAAAGAAATAACCCCCCCCCCCCGCTTTGTTTAAGCCGTGCAAGCTTGCCTCAAAGCATATGCCATATGCACACTTTTGCGGAAACCCATCATGCGAGAATCGTCACATTTTCGGAAACCCATCATGCGAGAATCGTGTTTGCAAATGGGGGGGGCTGCGCCCCCCCTAACCCCCCCGCTTTCTCAAGCCGTGCAAGCTTGCCTCAAAGCATATGCCATATGCACACATTTTCGGAAACCCATCATGCGAGAATCGTGTTTGCAAATGGGGGGGGCTGCGCCCCCCCCAACCCCCCGCTTCCCGCAACACACCCTACACCCTAAACCCTAAGCCCTAGTTCCGGACTGAAGGGGCAATGATACGAGGAGCAACCTTGACCCCGCAAACCGTAGAGCCTAATAAGACCCAAACCGTCCACCATAAGCCGCAAATCCTGATAGCATGTTTGCGGCCTACATGCGCAGTAAGCCCTAAACCGAAGCAAAGTTTCAGATTGAAGCATCCGAGGTTCCTCTTGAACCAGCCCCGGACGTTAACTAGCTTTTGAGTCCTGTCGGGGCCAACGATGGCCGCCCCGACGCTCCAAGCGCGAGTTGCAAAAGGACGAAGGGTTGGACGTAATGTGTTGTTGTAGCACGTTGAGATTTGGACCTGTTCCGGACACGCGGTGCCGCTGAGAGGCCATCGGAAGCTGAAAACCAGCAAAATTCACCAAAAAACCAAAAAAATGCACAGAAAAGAATTCCCACCAGAGGAGGACGACAGGCAGAACCAGGAGGGCATGTTCTGAAAACCACAAGAAAAGCAAGAAAAAGCAAGAAAATTCACAAAAAAAACCAGAAAAATTGACAAAAAAAATCCTCGCTCCTGCTAGCAGCCTCGGGAAGCCAGCCGAAGTCCTGCCCTGAATTCGTAGGCCCAGTTCCTTCCAAAACGACAACAATGCTAGCCATAAGTCATGTGGAAAAAACCCAAGCACTATAAACCCCAAAACCCACCTGTGCCATGATGCTCGCCCCCCGCCTCGTCCCAGCTGCGCAGTCACTGGGGCGAAGGGTTTTGCAAGCGTCCGGAGCTTCGGGGGACATTTGGCCAGAAACATGGCCAGCTGATGCTCATGATGCTCGCCCCCCGCCTCGTCCCAGCTGCGCAGTCACTGGGGCGAAGGGTTTTGCAAGCGTCCGGAGCTTCGGGGGACATTTGGCCAGAAACATGGCCAGCTGATGCTCATGATGCTCGCCCCCCGCCTCGTCCCAGCTGCGCAGTCACTGGGGCGAAGGGTTTTGCAAGCGTCCGGAGCTTCGGGACATTTGGCCAGAAACATGGCCAGCTGATGCTCATGATGCTCGCCCCCCGCCTCGTCCCAGCTGCGCAGTCACTGGGGCGAAGGGTTTTGCAAGCGTCCGGAGCTTCGGGGGGCATTTGGCCAGAAACATGGCCAGCTGATGCTCATGATGCTCGCCCCCCGCCTCGTCCCATCTGCGCAGTCACTGGGGCGAAGGGTGTTAAATTTTGCAAGCGTCCGGAGCTTTGGGGGGGCATTTGGCCAGAAACATGGCCAGCTGATGCTCATGATGCTCGCCCCCTGCCTCGTCCCATCTGCGCAGTCACTGGGGCGAAGGGTTTTGCAAGCGTCCGGAGCTTAGGGGGGCATTTGGCCAGAAACATGGCCAGCTGATGCTCATGATGCTCGCCACCCCGCCGTCCCATCTGCGCAGTCACTGGGGCGAAGGGTTTTGCTAGCGTCCGGAGCTTAGGGGGATTTGGCCATGAACAGCTGATGCTCATGATGCTCGCCCACCAATCTGTGCAATCACTGGGGCGAAGGGTTTTGCAAGCGTCCGGAGCTTAGGGGGGCATTTGGCCAGAAACATGGCCAGCTGATGCTCATGATGCTCGCCCCCCGCCTCGTCCCATCTGCGCAGTCACTGGGGCGAAGGGTTTTGCAAGCGTCCGGAGCTTAGGGGGGCATTGGCCAGAAACATGCAGCTGATGCTGCTCGCCTCCCGCCTCGTCCCATCTGCGCAGTCACTGGGGCGAAGGGTTTTGCAAGCGTCCGGAGCTTCGGGGGGCATTTGGCCAGAAACATGGCCAGCTGATGCTCATGATGCTCGCCCCCCGCCTCGTCCCATCTGCGCAGTCACTGGGGCGAAGGGTTTTGCAAGCGTCCGGAGCTTCGGGGGACATTTGGCCAGAAACATGGCCAGCTGATGCTCATGATGCTCGCCCCCCGCCTCGTCCCAGCTGCGCAGTCACTGGGGCGAAGGGTTTTGCAAGCGTCCGGAGCTTCGGGGGGCATTTGGCCAGAAACATGGCCAGCTGATGCTCATGATGCTCGCCCCCCGCCTCGTCCCATCTGCGCAGTCACTGGGGCGAAGGGTTTTGCAAGCGTCCGGAGCTTCAGGGGGCATCTCTCATGATGCTCGCCCCCCGCCTCGTCCCATCTGCGCAGTCACTGGGGCGAACGGTTTTGCAAGCGTCCGGAGCTTAGGGGGGCATTTGGCCAGAAACATGGCCAGCTGATGCTCATGATGCTCGCCCCCCGCCAAGCGTCCGGATCTTAGGGGGGCATTTGGCCAGAAACATGGCCAGCTGATGCTCATGATGCTCGCCCCCCGCCTCGGTTTTGCAAGCGTCCGGAGCTTAGGGGGGCATTTGGCCAGAAACATGGCCAGCTGATGCTCATGATGCTCGCCCCCCGCCTCGTCCCATCTGCGCAGTCACTGGGGCGAAGGGTTTTGCAAGCGTCCGGAGCTTAGGGGGTCATTTGGCCAGAAACATGGCCAGCTGATGCTCATGATGCTCGCCCCCCGCCTCGTCCCATCTGCGCAGTCACTGGGGCGGAGGGTTTTGCAAGCGTCCGGAGCTTAGGGGGTCATTTGGCCAGAAACATGGCCAGCTGATGCTCATGATGCTCGCCCCCCGCCTCGTCCCATCTGCGCAGTCACTGGGGCGAAGGGTTTTGCAAGCGTCCGGAGCTTAGGGGCCGGAACTTAGGGGGATTTGGCCATAAACAGCTGATGCTCATGATGCTCGCCCCCCGCCTCGTCCCATCTGCGCAGTCACTGGGGCGAAGGGTTTTGCAAGCGTCCGGAGCTTAGGGGGGCATTTGGCCAGAAACATGGCCAGCTGTTGCTCATGAGGCTCGCCCCCCCGCCTCGTCCCATCTGCGCAGTCACTGGGGCGAAGGGTTTTGCAAGCGTCCAGAGCTTAGGGGGCATTCGGCCAGAAACATGGCCAGCTGATGCTCATGATGCTCGCCCCCCGCCTCGTCCCATCTGCGCAGTCACTGGGGCGAAGGGTTTTGCAAGCATCCGGAGCTTCGGGGGCATTTGGCCAGAAACATGGCCAGCTGATGCTCATGATGCTCGCCCCCCGCCTCGTCCCATCTGCGCAGTCACTGGGGCGAAGGGTTTTGCAAGCATCCGGAGCTTCGGGGGGCATTTGGCCAGAAACATGGCCAGCTGATGCTCATGATGCTCGCCCCCCGCCTCGTCCCATCTGGGCAGTCACTGGGGCCGAAGGGTTTTGCAAGCGTCCGGAGCTTCGGGGGGCATTTGGCCAGAAACATGGCCAGCTGATGCTCATGATGCTCGCCCCCCGCCTCGTCCCATCTGCGCAGTCACTGGGGCGAAGGGTTTTGCAAGCGTCCGGAGCTTAGGGGGGCATCTGGCCAGAAACATGGCCAGCTGATGCTCATGATGCTCGCCCCCCGCCTCGTCCCAGCTGCGCAGTCACTGGGGCGAAGGGTTTTGCAAGCATCCGGAGCTTCGGGGGCATTTGGCCAGAAACATGGCCAGCTGATGCTCATGATGCTCGCCCCCCGCCTCGTCCCATCTGCGCAGTCACTGGGGCGAAGGGTTTTGCAAGCATCCGGAGCTTCGGGGGGCATTTGGCCAGAAACATGGCCAGCTGATGCTCATGATGCTCGCCCCCCGCCTCGTCCCATCTGCGCAGTCACTGCGGCGAGAGGTTTTGCAAGCGTCCGGAGCTTAGGGGGGCATTTGGCCAAAAACATGGCCAGCTGATGCTCATGATGCTCGCCCCCCGCCTCGTCCCATCTGCGCAGTCACTGGGGCGAAGGGTGTTAAATTTTGCAAGCGTCCGGAGCTTGGGGGGGCATTTGGCCAGAAACATGGCCAGCTGATGCTCATGATGCTCGCCCCCCGCCTCGTCCCATCTGCGCAGTCACTGGGGCGAAGGGTTTTGCAAGCGTCCGGAGCTTAGGGGGCTAGCTGGTGCTCATGATGCTCGCCCCCCGCTCGTCCCATCTGCGCAATCACTGGGGCGAAGGGTTTTGCAAGCGTCCGGAGCTTAGGGGGGCATTTGGCCAGAAA